AAAAAAACGAGCTGGCTGTGGTGACATATGCTGGTAAATTAACAAAGAGGATGAGACAGGAGGATCACAAGTTTGAGACCAGCCTGGGCTCTACCTTTGTAGGGCACTGTCATTCATACCTGTAATCCTAGCTATTCCGGAAGCTGAGATCTGGCGATCACTGTTCAAAGCCAGCCCAGACTGACTGAGAGGTCTATGAGGCTCTTATCTCCAGTTAATCACCAAAAAAGCCAGAAGTAGAGCTGTGGCTCAAGTGGTAGAAAGCTAGTCTTGAGCAAAAAAATTTAGGGACAGTACCCAGGTACCCTTGGACTAGCACCAAAAAACCTAAGACAAACCAGAAACCCACACTTGAGTGAAACTGTATAAACCAAAAATGAGGGGTGAGGAAGGAGGTAGGGAAAGAAGGGGAGGAGGAAGAAAGGAAAGAGGGAAGAAGAGAGGAAGGGAAGGAGGGAGGAAGGGAAGGAAGGAAGAGCAAATCCTTGTTCTGTCAGAGCAATTGCATACTTCCTACACTGTATCATAGGGTCTTTGGTTATTACACACTGAAACAGTATTAATTGTATTTATTATCTTTTTTTTCCAAAGAAAAAAAATACTTAGTTTTGTTTTGCTTTAATGAAAATTTCCAAACGTACAGAGGAGCCTAGGGAATGACACACATCTAGCTACATAGCACCCACATTTAATAAATCTTAAATTTGCCTTCTGTGTCTCAGTGCTTTTATGGAAGGAGCAGAATATTATGAAGACCTCTTCTTTTCCCTGGTCCCATGTTCCTTCTTGTTTCCACTGTCACAACCACTATTCACTTTTCTTTCCATCCTTCCCTTTTTCCTTTCTTCCTCTCTTTGTTTCAATCGAGAGAACTTGAAGAACTTGAAAGGCTCTCTTCCTGCATTCACCTGCAGGAGGCTGTGTGCAGGTTTGATTTGATAAACTGCTCAATTGAATTCACTCCTGGGTCTCTTGACCAAATTTCACTGCTGTTCCCAATAAGGAGAGAAGAATTAGACTGAAGTTTAGGGGGAGGGACATTGCAGGGTGGAGCTAAAATAGAGGAAAGGAGGGGGGGTAACTGTTAAATAAGGGGGCCCACCATGTTTTCCAGGGAGTGCCCAGAGCAGCTGAGCAGAAGCTGTACTTTCTTGCCTTTCCATTTTCCGTGTGTCCATCTGTCTGTGAGAAGGAGCCTGAAACCAAAGGAGATGATGGAGCCAGAGGACTACAGGAAGAGAGGTGAGAGAATGGGGTGTCCTTTTGCTTGGGGGGGTTCACATTGCCCTTTGAGAGTTAGTTTTGCAACCTGTTACCTACCCACTTTCACACGGAGCCGCAAGCCCCTGTATTCCTTTTTCTTTCTTATTTTCCCACAAGGTAAAGAAAGGGTTTGACATTCCTGACCCAGTAAATGGAGAGAACATTTTTTTTAAAGATCATTCATGCATCCTTTGAAATAGAGAAAACAAAACAAAACAGTGCAGAAGTCTCTGTCTTAACATTTATTTCTCTAGGTAAGAAGTGATGGATGCTCTTTCATTTAGCATTCGGCCTTGACCATTTTT